AACTGACTCCTCCTATAGAGGGCTCCACGTTTCGCAAGCATATAGAAGGGAGGGCACAACTGCGACCGAGAAGGCCCGGAGCATTGTAGGGAGCAACAGGCCAGTGAGCTTCCACACAGCCTTACGCAGCTGATGAAAAGATAATACTGCTCGACGAATTCGGAGGTCTGGGCTGCAAAACAGGAAAAAGTCAAAAACACACTGCCCAAGTTCGGAAACTTCTCCACTCTCTCCACAACTGCCTCATCACTCGTGGGGAGGGGAGCATTTGACGGCATAAAAATTTAACCCGTAAAAACAAAGTTTTTCACTATAAATCCTTTATATGCGTGGCGGCTAGAGTCCTCTCGTCCTCTGGCTTGAGATGGCTGCCACCTATGGGTCAAATGATTACCTGCCACCATTAAGCAATTGGTAATTAAATATAAAAAAAATTTCCTAAAAAGTGTACAATTTTGGAAACAAATTTTCACGAAAATACATTGTCACGCACAACGAGTCTGTGTGCAATATGTCAGCTCGATTGGATCACGGGAAGTGGGTTAAAAAACGACCGAAAGATTTGCACAGTCGTAAGCGCGCAAGCAAGTGAACTTGATATAAAGGATTTAAAAATACCCAGGCAGGTGCTGTTTTTGTGAGGCGGATGGGGAGGCCCCGTCGCTTGGTAGCACACTCCAGGAGCCGTGTTCACGCACATTGAACCCTCACGCACAGAGGCCAAGAATGAACACTGGCTTATACTGGTAGGAACGAAGTGAACCAGCCTACAATAGATTATATCGTCCGTCCGTCCGATGTCCGATTAGGTGTAGCAACATCGCCCCCTACTGCAAACACTTGGCATGACCCTACAAAAACCTTTAGACTCAGTGAGGCTTTCCTGGCTAAACAAGTGTAACATTCCCCTATAATTCCCTGAGATAGCTTTTAAACAGGTCCCTGCGGGGTGGGCTGGTAGGAACGAATAACCAAAGAATATAAATTCTAGATTTGAAGCTTTCGTGACTTCAATGATTTATATTCTTAGGTTTTTTTCGGTAAAGTCACGTAGGTAAAAACATTAAGAAGTAAAATAAAATAAAAATCACGACGTTTCGGAGGCAACACAAGCTTCCGTCTTCAGGTGGTACCGTCACAGCCACGACAGCTGTATCAAGTAAATGAGAAATTGCAGAAGCTACCACTCCGTTTATATAATGGCTGGAGAAGGTGGTGGGGCAAGGGCCACATACTTTTATTAATATGGTAAGGTGAGGCTTAAGACTAAGAATAGACTGCATAACAAAGGCTCAACCATTATATAAACGGAGTGGTAGCTTCTGCAATCTCTCATTTACTTGATACAGCTGTCGTGGCTGTGACGGTACCACCTGAAGACGGAAGCTTGTGTTGCCTCCGAAACGACGTGATTTTTATTTTATTTTACTTTTTAATGTTTTTACCTACGTGACTTTACCGAAAAAACCTAAGAATAAAAAAGAATATAAACATAATGTATTATTACACTTGTTTAGCCAGGAAAGCCTCACAGAGTCTAAAGGTTTTGTAGGGTCCTGACAAGTGTTTGCAGTACGGGGCAATGTTGCTACACCTAATCGGACGATACGAAGGGAGAGTTTGAGGCCTAGTTCTAGGCTTTAGGCCTAGCTGTAGGCTTTAGGCCGCTGTGAGTTAATTTGTAATTGAAATGTTTTTATTATTTATGTGAAAGCTTTAAATTTCAATGTTTCTATTTAAAAACATCAGGGAATGTAACATTGTTAAACATTAACTCTCTTTGACACATGCGGGGGTACGATACTTAAGGGAGAGTTTGAGGCCTAGTTCTAGGCTTTAGGCCTAGCTGTAGGCTTTAGGCCGCTGTGAGTTAATTTTTAATTTAAATGTTTTAATTAAAAGCTATCTCAGGGAATTATAAGGGAATGTTACACTTGTTTAGCCAGGAAAGCCTCATTAATTTAAATGTTTTAATTAAAAGCTATCTCAGGGAATTATAAGGGAATGTTACACTTTAGCCAGGAAAGCCTCACCGAGTCTAAAGGTTTTTGTAGGGTCATGCTGAGTGTTTGCAGTAGGGGGCGATGTTGCTACACCTAATCGGACATCGGACGGACGATATAATCTATTGTAGGCTGGTTCACTTCGTTCCTACCAGTATTAAAACATTTAAATTAAAAATTAACTCACAGCGGCCTAAAGCCTACAGCTAGGCCTAAAGCCTTGAACTAGGCCTCAAACTCTCCCTTCGTATCGTACCCCCTCGTGTGTGAAAGGGAGTTAATGTTTAACAATGGTACATTCCCTGATGTTTTTAAATAGAAACATTTAAATTTAAAGCTTTTACATTAATAATTAAAACATTTTAATTAAAAATTAACTCACAGCAGCCTAAAGCCTACAGCTAGGCCTAAAGCCTAGAACTAGGCCTCAAACTCTCCCTTCGTATCGTCCGATTAGGTGTAGCAACATCACCCCCTACTGCAAACACTTGGTAGGACCCTACAAAAACCTTTAGACTCAGTGAGGCTTTCCTGGCTAAACAAGTGTAATAATACATTGTTTATTTTCTTTGGTTATTCGTTCCTACCAGCCCACCCCGCAGGGACCTGTTAGCGTAGAAGTCTGATGTCAGAGCAGTCGTTTAGGGTTCATACCCTCGGTGTGGTGGGCTGGGGGTGCTTGGTGGAAGGGGTGACGTCCCGAGGTGACCTGTCCCTACTGGACATGTGAAGGTTGTATAGCTCATCGTATAAATCCAAAGCAATTAAATATTCGGAGTCTGGCTGCACGGCCATGGCAGGCTCTGCCTGGGGAACGCTTCGCAGGCCCAATTCCCAAGAATCGGGAGGTGCATTGCTCAGAGGTCCGAGGAGCTGAGCCTCTCCTGTGTCGATTTTCCCCACAAGACGTAGATGAGTGGGAGAGTCATATCCAATCAACAATTGAACAAGACCAATGCAAAAACGACCCCGGTCTCCATAACGGCAGACCCGTGCGTGGCTAAGGGCCATCCCACAGGGCATTAGAGAAAAGAGGTTATAAAACAATACCAATGTAGACCTTATGAAGCAATTTCAATTTTCAAAACGGCAGCGTTATCAACAGAATTAACGTGAAGTATGCATGGCAACTTTAAGATCAAAGGTGGCTGCTGGTTCACTCACTGTACATTCGGAATATTCGCTCAGACCAGATCGGGACTTGTAGATAGGTTATTTCATGTAACTGTCCACTCCTATCGCCACACATTTTTAAGTAAGAATGCATTGCAAAAGTGAAGACGTTCCGACTGTGCAATGGGATAATCAATGTATCTCCTGGCTTATGGCAGTGGCATAAAATCCACGACTGCATTACAAATGTAATAGCTGCAAATTTGCTTTCAGGGAAATGTGTTCACAAAATATATGTAACACGTTTGATAAAGCACCTCCTGTATCGTACAACTGAATGCAGTAAAATACCTCAGCCCGATGCTGAAACAAAGCAGAGAAATATCCATCGATGGATTACAGCCTGTCAAACAGCCAACCATTCTTCTGCAGTTCCAGATGGCTCAAGACGGACGCCACCACCTTGTGGTCGGTGTTGGATCACCAAACCCTGACTCCAATGCTGTGGGGGTGATTCTTAAGACTACTCCTGGGACTGTGCTTTAGTTTCCCTCCTCCCCCCGACATGTAAATGTCACAAGTGATAGCAGTGTATTAAACATGGAAAAAAAATATTTAACTCTGCATTTGGAGAAATGAATTTAATACTTATAGACATTAATGCATTTTATAATACAGCAGTCTCCAGCACAGAAACCGTTATTCCATAATTTGCCATTTACAGTCATTTAGATAAAAGCACTTAAAGCAACAAATAGTCAGATAGCTTTTTTCACATGCGTGAAGTTATATTTACAGTGCACCACTCCAGTGTTTAGCACTGCTGCTACATCTTACACAATTAACCCTTCCAACATCCACGGCTCTATAACTTCATCAGTTGTAACTGCTCGTAAGCAGCCAACTGTATCACCCAAAGGCCAGAACAATTCTGAAATTGGAGCATCTGAATGTACTTCGAATGAAAAATGGGCAACATTTATTTTGGTTTTTTGTCCCAAAGGTATTTACCAAAGCTAATGAGGCGTTTGACCAAGTACAGAGTGCTGCTGCCAATGTGTCATCCTCCGCTACTTAAATCACCGAGTGATCGCTAAAAATCTAAATCCTAAACAATGTGAGCACAAACAAGACCGCTACATGTCTGGTGGAAGGGTTGTAGGGTGGACTGGATTATTTTGTTCCCTAAACATATGGTGTTTTTAGAATTGCATACTAAAGTAAAACGTAGTTGGTTGTTAAACAATTAAAATTGTATAACTGCACTGTATAAAACTGTCACTACTTCCAACTCCGCTATATAAAATTGAAGGGAACAAACTGGTAGTGTGCATGATTTGTAAAGTTCTAGCTTTTGTTACTGTGGGGAAAAAACGAACAAGGAATTTTGGACCAAATCATACAGAAAGCCAATAAAGCAAACATCGCAAACCTCCTCTGAACCTTCTTTTCTATTAAAAAGGTTTAAAACAAAGCCATTACTCAAAACTATGCAATTTTATGCTTAAATTGCCAGTTTGGGGATGGGGTGTATTTCAAGCGCCAGATGAAAAAAAGCACCATACAAAAATTCAACAGAAACGCAACCACCAGTAACGGATTAACAAAATCTATACAGAGAAATGAAGCATCAGGCCTGCAGGGTACTTGACTGTAAAAGCAGAAAAAGTAATCAACTAAGCAAGTGTGCATATGAGAAATACATTTTTTTTACAATGTGGTTCTAATAGTTCTCTACCTGCCCCCCACCCACCCTCCCACCTAAAACATGACAGCAAAATTCCCTTCACTGGTTGAAGAACGATGCGTGTCGAAATGAAGGAATACTTAGGAGAAACATGGTGCTGGCTATTGATGTTGTCTTGTTACCAATGAAACAATCTGTTTGAACGTCGAAGCTCCACAGTTCTCTCCATTAAGTTTTTTTTTTACTTTTTAAAATAGCTTTAAAAATACCGCTGTCAACAAAATTAATAAGTTATTAAACACATTCGATTTAGAAAAACTAAGCTGAACGGGATACCAAAAGTCATTTCAAAATACATAAATTGAGGATGAAGGAAAACATGATTGTAGGAAATATGAATCTGTGGATTGGCAGGCTTGCATGCTTCAACTGTATATTCTAGTGTAGTAAAAGGGGAAAATGATTCCCCATCTCCTCGGTATCAGTTGTAAAATGACATTACAAGAGAATGAAGAAACGTACTGTATATACTGTTCATGGCATTGGTTAGTTCACTATAAAACGGTCCATGATGTCCATCACAGCACAAAAAGGATGTTCTGCTTTGGGTACCACAATTTTGTCAAGGTATACTTTTTTTCTGTAAAGTAGCAAACTCAAGTGACGAGCAATGCTTTACAATAGGAAAGCTGATACAATCAAACAGGTGTGCGCATGTTCACACAAGTGTCGACTGCCAACAATGAAGGATTTCTACCACATGCAGGAGCAGAACTGAAGGGTCTTTGCACATTTGATTTGTTTAGCCACTCAGACCACCGTATGCTGCATAAGTGTGCCCTCGATCAACATGCCCCTTCAGTGTTCCCTCTGGCCTCCGGCTGGGAGTATGGGGAAGAGAAGCCGTGTTTTCAGGAAGGTGCTAAAACCCGGTCCATACCAACAAACCAGTTCATTATTATGTCCCTGAGACCAAAACTCAAGGTGCTTTTTATTTCATAAGCATTAATTCCCACACGCTGACTTTGGGAATTGCAGCAGAGCCTCTCTTCGTATTCCCATACACCATTCCAAAGCATTCTTCATAATGGTCATCAGGAGCTTGCCACAGGACTTTGCTGAACACACACGCCCATCATGGGGGAGTCTTCCCTGTCAGGGGCTGAGCGCGAGCCCAACGGCCCATCTGCTCCATAGTGAGTTGGCCGTGAGCTGAGCGGTCCATCTGCCCCGTAGTGAGCCGGCCTGGAGCCCAGAGGTCCATCGGACGTGTAGTGAGCAGAGCGGCCCTCTCCTGTGTAGAGTCCTGGTCCTGCAGCAGGGTAGGGGTATCCCAAGGCAGTGGCTGCACTGCTGCTGCTAGTCCCTGTGAGGAAGCCCCCAGCCACTCCTGTGAGTACTGTTCGTGTTCGGAGGCCTGAGGTAAGAGGCAGGCCGAGCGAACCAGCCTGGGTGCAGTCTAACGGGTCCGGTCCCAGCAGAACATTCGGAGAAGGATCAGACACCTGCTGCCTGAAGGCCCGGTGCCTGGCATTGCTCTGCGATGCTTGGTGAGCGATTGGCTGTCCTGTAGGTTGGAAATTTGAATGTCCTGGCTGAGTGTTGGACTGTATTACTAACTGGCTGTGCGAGTAGGATGGCTGTGGATTGGAGTGAGGATTGTTCAGATGAGCCGGTGGATTGTTCGTATGCAATGCGGAGTTGTTTGCATGAGTAAAATGCCCTGTTTGGCGAGACGTATGGCCGTGGGAGTGGTGGTGCTGGGAACGGTGGTGGCCATGAGAATGAGCGGCCTGCTGAGACACGAGGTGATTGTAGTTTGTTGTGCCGCTTTCTGGAGACAACATTGTCTGTGTGGATGAATCCCCTGTGGTCCACGCCATGTGGGATTGGTGATACGCCTGCAAATAGAAACATACGGAACATTCAGTTAAACGATTCTGCATAACCGTTACATCATAACTTACATTGTAATAAACGAAATAAAAAAACCTCTCAACCATGAAAGGTTTTTTTGGGTTAGATCATGTAAATATGCGTCGTTAACGCCCACCACCACCCGACACCGCCAACTATTAAGGGTTGTCACGTAAACAGAACATGCCAATTCGTCACTAGTACAGCACACCGGTGTGTTGGAGAATCAAGCCAAAACATTTCCAACCGGAGTACGACGTTCCGCCAGTAATTACAACTAGCTTCATCAGGCGACAGCCAGATTGTAAATGTTGTAGCTTGGCTCCCCAACACACCGGTGTGCTGTACTAGTGACGAATTGGCATGTTCTGTTTACCTGACAACCCTTACTAATTGGCTGTGTCGGGTGGTGGCGGGATTTAACGACACATTTATATATTTAAGCGATTTAACCCAAATAAACCTCTATTATGGATATTGGTCGCGAAAGCCTACATGTTAAAAACCTCTCAATTCAATTTTTTCAGGACCAAAGTCATTATGAAGACAGTTTATAGGAAGTCATTTGTCAAGTATATTATACAATGCATGGTTCAAAGTCAAATCAGCCATGATCTATTCATTGCTGGATGAAGACCTCCCCCACACCATCCCCATTTCACGATCTTGCAATGCAACAATATAGTTCCTGTACATAAGCAACTTTCATCACTCCAACTCGGACAGACATCCTCTTGGGTGTATTCCCTCCTTTGGATGCATCTTTGGTAGTCTCATCCAAGCCCACGAATTTTTCCGAAGTCAATGTTGTCTCTAACTTGTGATCCATATGTACCACTTTCTGCCTCTCGGTGCAATTCGAAGCGTGCACCTCTCCATGCTTCTTTGTGCATTTTTTATATTTTGCTCCATTTTCGGTGCCAATGTTCATGCGCCTAATCCATGTCACAGCAGAAAAGATTAAATGATTAAAAACGTTCTTCTTTAGCTACCACCAACCATCGGTTGTATTGTTTTATGGCAAATGGAGCATTGATGCAAGTGTAGTGACGTAGCGCTGACTGTTGAACAGCAGCAGCAACTGCAGGTGGGCACTGAGTGCACACGCCGCTGAGCATATACGCAGGTGTGCCAGCAGGGCGGAGGAACTGGAGCAAGGGTCATGAGAGACCTCGTGTGGAAGCCCCTGGAACCCTCGACGGTTCGAGAAGGGAGGCGCGGCTCGGGTGGAGCCAAGCTGCACCGAGGGGAATATAAGCAGCAGAGATCGAGAGCTGGGCTGCCGGTTCTGGGATTGGACCCATCTCATCGTCGCAACGTGGAAAGGGTCGTGTCTGGGACGGGGCGCGCGGCAGCGGGGTCGTGTGTGAGAGAGAGAGAGAGAGAGGGGGGGCCCGAGTAGTGGCGTGAGGGCGGCAACAACAATGAATAAAAAGGGCAGAGCAGTGCCTCCTACGACCACCTCGTCTCCGGCTGATTGTGTGCGCCGCACACCACCCGCACGCACAGACGACACTACACAAGTACCTGGGAGTTGTGGGCGTCATATTCCGTCGTGGGGGCCACGTTGTTGTAATGCCTGCTTCCGTTGTGTCGGTGCTGCGCTGGGTCTGATCGAGCCCGGTCACTGTGAGAGGAGCCACTTGACCCACCTGGATAAGAAGTAACAGTTTTATTCATTAAAGCCAGAGAATCTCTGCATGACTTTTAACTGCACAACAATACATTAATTTACATCATGGGACCTCTTTTGCCAGTACTAAAATATGAGAATAGGTTTTCCACATTTTTCTGGCAACAAAACAGGTGTTAAGATGTTAAAACACCAAACTGAAACCTTTTTACGTGTGCCCATCGGATTCCTCCAGTATAAATATACTGATATCGATTCCTTGCACGCTCAGTGTCAACACACCCTCTCCCCAGTGCCTCTCACATTCTCCCACACCGCTTACATCTGTCTTTCTTGTACATCTCTTTTCCCTCATGTCACGAAGTCCGACACATTTGTTGTTATTGCTGTACAGTTGTTCTGTCCAGCAATATCTCGACTCGAAATGTGTTGGTCACTCTGAGCCCAAGAATAAACCGTTTGGAGCCCCGAACCACAAGATGCTCCGATTGCTGACACAGCACCAAATGGCTGCAGTGTTTTGTATTACAGCAAAAATAATTAGGGCTAGGACTGATTTCACGTTGGAAAAGTTAAGCTTATATATAAGCTCCTAGCTTGGCATTGTCTCATTCTTCACCTGAGGACGGCTGCTTGCGTTGTGGCCGAAACGTCGTGAGAATTATTTTATTATGTTTTATTTTTATTATTTTATTACTTCCCTTCTACGTGACTTTACCGAAAGAACCAAGAAGATGTTTAGAATGGCATTCATGATTTGTAAGCATAAAAGCTGTGCAGTCTCACATGTGCTCTCCAAAAGTGGAGTGCAACTTTTTCACAATGTACGATATGTTGTCTTGTGCTGCGGCTGATGCACCACCTTGCCTTCTTGAAATTAATACAAGACTCCTACTAAGAGGAAATTTTTCACATCAACAGTGAGTAAGCTGAGGAGTATGACCACAAATAACATTTGATCTGGGAAAGGTATTATTTTAAGACGTAGGCTTTCGTGACCAATTTTATTCATAATAAAAGTATTTTTCGGGTTAGATCGCGTAAATATAAATGTGTCGTTAAACCCGTCGCCACCCGACACAGCCAATTAGGAAGGTTTGTCAAGCAAACAAAGCAATTCTTGCTATCTCCTAATGAAGTTGGTTGTAAATCACTTGCAAAACTTCGTACTCAAATTATAAATGTGGTTTACTCTCCAACACCGGTGTGCTGAAGTAGTAACTAATTGGCATGTTTTGTTTACGTGACAAACCTTTCTAATTGGCTGTGTCAGGTGGTGACGAGTTCAACATCACAATTATATTTACGCGATCTAACAAAAAAAAACTTTATTATGAATATTTATTTACTTGTGTTACACGAAGACTTACCAGAACTCGATGAAGAGTTTGAAGTTCCAGTCCCAGTGCCCTGGCTCTGATCAATGGCAGGGCTTGTGGACACACTGTTACTTGTGTTTGTTCCTTCATCAGTGGTTTTTTTAAAGAAGTTGTGTTGCAGGGCATAAAAAGGAGTTATTCGTGTTTTGGGATCGTAGTCCAACATGCGCAGGATCAGATCTTTAAACTTCAGGTAATCAGCAACTGTGTGCCCAGCCTCTCCCATCCTCCGGCCTCCAGGACCACCGCTCTCCACGCCAATGATGTCGTGTAATTTGCGAGACCCAGCTGTCTTGTACTCCTGTGGACACACAAAGAGCAGGATACCCACAAACGAGTCACACTATAACCCGAGATTACAGCGCACGCAGTTTAGACAAGCGTACGATCCCTGTGTATAGTGAAATTTTAACTGGCAAAAATAAACACAATCCCATATCTCTCACAGTGCGCACTTCCCAATGCCTTTCATAAAGGCTTGCCAGATGTGTGAGACGAAGTTGGAATACCTTTTTATACATAGATTTTCCCCCTTACGATACTTAGCAACGTACAATTATATATTACCTTAGGGCTTCATCCTAGGATCACTATTGTTTCATGTGAATGTCTTCCCACTCAGCATCCTCAACTTCCAGCATGATTTAGGCTTCCACATGCACGTTAATGATACCCAGATATTTCTTTATAGTCCCACTTTAACAACAACTTGTGTTTAATTGACCTGAAAATATTATCGGCTCCATGCGCTTATTAAAAAGTTTAATAAAGATGAAATAAACCTGTATGGATAAATTTTATTGCAGCTTGGAAGTAATAAACGTGGTGCAGTTTGACCCAAAACTCTCAATGAGTATTGTGGTGTCCTGTTGTAACTATGTAACATTTCCAGACTGATGTCCTGTTATATTTTAAAAGGTCAGCACTTAATCTATGCTTTCTTTCATTTGTGACTATTACAATGCAATCAATGCTTCCTGATCTGCCAAGCCATTGAGACTTCCAGAGGCTGAGCATTAAGACTAATCTAAGCAATGTGAGAAAATGCATTTGTATTCCATGGAAACTTTGGATATTGGGATCTAAAACAAGTCCATTGAATAAAAATTAATTTAATCTTCATGTGTACCAAACAGCAATATACCACAATAACTCAAGGCAGGCTTCAGGTTCATATCCTTATATCAGGAACGTTACAGCATTTTGTGCGTATTGTTTATGTACTCCCAACTGATCATTATTAGGGTGCATATTTGTCACTTACTAGCGATGCGACAACACTTATGGAAAGGAATGATTAAAATCCCCTTTGAGTACCAATATTTGAAAATCTACGATTTGTTTCATAATTGGCTTCGCATAGGTATAACGTCAATTACTGTGATAACCCTTCACCACCTGCCACCCAGTGCACGAGTCTATTTGGTTTTGCGAGCAAATCGTTTACATTGAAAGGCAAGTAAAATGTTGAAAACGATGGAAAACTTTGGCTGCGAGATTCCGACCAGCACCATGAGGTGTCGGCAAGAGCTTAAGTGTCGCATGAGGACCACGCCCAGCTACTCAAGGAGACGTCATGAGAACAGCCATGCGGGTGAACCGAATCTAATTATTGGAGGTAAATGCCGATTTTATTCGTTGCAATTTGCAGGGTTTAAATAATGTAACAAGGTGAATCTTTTCAATCCTGGGTGAAAATAGGCAATCCTTCCTTAATTATAAAGTTCATGGTGTTGGTTCTAAATTGATATTTGGTATTGTAAAGTTAATCTCTTCTTACCTATGAAATAAATGTTTTGTCTGTCTGTGTGTCTGTCTGTGCGGGTACCTTGTGATGCTTTTAACTGACAAACTGTGGGGTTTACATATCAAAAAGAGTGCAAATACCACGCAATATGCCCCGGGACGAAAAATTTCTATTCGTTTTTCCCATCAGTCAAGTTTAAAGTAGTTAAACGAACAATGTATTCTTGTTATACACCGAGGGTGGCGCCAAAGCACGCATCTGCGCACCGCGAGAACGCCGACTCGTGGTGGTTGCCCCGAGCAATGCATACTCGATCGGTGGGGGCGGGGGAGTTCAAAATGCCAAAACAACGCCGAGGTAAATTCTTCAGTGTCATGTCCTCTACTCCCCCCCACCCCAATGTCTGCACTCCACGGGACTAGATCTCACCACGGCACTCTGTGAAGTTAGTAAATACTGCTATAGAGTCGATAGATACCTTTATAGAGTCGGTAGATACTACTACAGTCAGTAGATACTACTGTAGAGTAGGTAGATACTAATTCTAGATTTGAAGCTTTCGTGACTGCAAGGATTTATATTCTTAGGTTTTTTTCGGTAAAGTCACGTAGGTAAAACATCAAAATTAATGAAAATAAAATTTTATTACTGTAGTTAATCATTACTACTATTGAGTTGATATACTACTATAGAGTTAGTATATACTACTAGTCAGTATATACTGCTGTGGAGTTAGTAGAAACTGCTATCGAGTCGGTACATACTACTATGGAGTTAGTAGATACTACTATAGTCAGTATATACTACTGTAGAGTTAGTAGATAGTGCTATTATAGAGTCGGTAGATACGACTACAGTCCGTAGATACGACTGTAGAGTCACTAGATACTACTATAGAGTCAGTAGTTTGACTATAGGGTCTGTACATATGACTGTAGAGTCGATAGATACGACTATAGAGTCAGTAGATACTGCTGTAGGGTTGTAGATACAAATGCAGAGTCGGTAAATGCTACTGTAGAGTCAGTAGATACTGCTATTGCCAGCAGCTACTGCTATACAGTCAGCAGATACTACTATAGTTAGTAATTACTACTATAGTCAGTAGATACTACTGCGGTCAGTAGATACTACTACTACAGTCAGCTGATACTATCGTCAGTAGACACTACTATAGTCAGTAGATACAACTGTAGAGCCAGATAATATTATAGTCATTAGATACTATTCACTCTATTGCATGTAGGGTGCGTAGTTATATAAATTACTTGAGGGTACGGCATAAGATACGATTTAGTCTCATTGTATAAAGGTATAAAAAAGTTAGTTTCTTACAATATTTGAGTAAGGTCATTTGAAAATAGTGTTAGTTTTACATTATTGTAACTAAATCATGGATTAACGAGATTTAAAGCAAGTATTTTATGTTAAGGTTCTAGTTAAGCAATAATTTATAAGATTACTTAAATTAGCACAGTGGTGATTAGCACTTGAGGATTTAGTGAAGGTTGATTGAAGATATTGTTGTTAGATCCTTGTTATTAAATGATGCATTGATTGAACCAGATCAAATGTAGAGTACTCAGTCTATCTATAGGCACGAAGTTGATTTAGTTTTTGATCATTTTTTGTTCCCTTATTATAAACTAGCAGGAAGTACCTGGCGTTGCCCGGGGGAAAAATATATTTCAAAACTTGTCTTCTCTTAAAAATATAACATATACAAATACAAAGTTATTGTGAAAGCCCGGGATTCCATTTGTCTGTCCATTTGTCCATCAACAAGATTATAACAGGCTTGCAGAAGTCTTGAATCAAAAAGTAATAGAAAGTGGGGGGTAAATAGTTTATCTAAACGGTTTACGAAAATTGTCAACCCCCCCCACCCCACCGAAATAAATATTTTAACCCCCCCATAGGCATATATACCTACACACCCTACATACAATAGATAGAGTAGTATCTAGTGACTCTGTAGTAGTATATGGCTCTACAGTAGTATCTACTGACTGTATAGTAGTATCTATTGACTGTAGTAGCATCTACTGACCCTAGTAGTATTTACTGACTCTATAGTGGTATCCGACTATGGTAGTATCTGCTGACTCTCGCAGTATCTACTGACTCTATAGTAGTAACTACTGACTCTACAGTAGTATTTAATGACTATAGTAGTATCTCAATTGATAGTAGTATCTATTTACTCTACAGTAGTATCCACTGATTATAGAAGTAACTACTAACTCGATAGTAGTATCTGGTGACTCTATAGTAGGATCTGCAGACTCTATAGCAGTATCTGGTGACTATAGCAGTATCTACCGACTGCAGCAGTATCTACTGACTGTAGTATTATCTACTGACTCTATAGTAGTATCTACCGACTTTATAGTAGTGTAATGCGGGCGTAAATGGGCGGGGCGGATATGACGATCCGAGAGGGAGGAGTCAGGGTGACGTGGGGGAGAAGTTATAGCGGGGAGACAGGAAGCTATCTGGGGTCAGTCGGGGGAGTGAAGGGTGGTGAACACGTTGGGTGGTCGCCGTGCCTCAGCCTGGTGGCTGAGGGGCTCATGACGGCGCCAGCCAGCGGGGTGGAAGAGAGAGTGGAGGATTGAGGTAGGAAGTGGCGAGATAGCCACAGAGGCCACGAAGGGCTGAGGTAGGAAACGGCGAGATAGCCACAGAGGCCACGAAGGGCTGAGGTAGGAAATGGCGAGATAGCCAGAGGCCACGAAGGGCTGACATTGGGAGGTGGCGAGATCGCCACGCACGGAGGAACAGGGAGCGGAGATGGAGCTGCTGGGGGAGCAGCCAGAGGGCTGTACCAAGAGCCTGCAGCGGAGCTGCAGGAGCGTGGAAGGCTACGGGAGCGAAGGCAGATGTGGGGCTGCCAGGGAGAGAGTCTCAGGAGGAGTGCCGTGTGGGAAGGAGAACGCGAACCCCAAATAAAGGACACGGAGTCAGCAAGAAGTGTCTGAGTCCTTTTATTACACTGGAGTCAGAAGTGAAACGGCATCTCAAAACAACTGAGAGAAAGAAGAAAAAAAGAATATTCCTGCGCCATCATCTGCTACATCATCGGACGACGACGACCTTCCTCAGACGGTGGTCCTGCCTGCGATGGAAGAGGAGATCCGTGCTGGAACGAGTACGGGTCCGGGTGAGCAAGGTGTCGCCGCGTTGGTGGACCTGTCTGTGCCGGAGGATGCCAACTTACGATGGAGACAGATGGCGGCGCAGATGGAGACCTTGAAAATCGTGCTGGCGCAACTGTGTGAGTTCACCACGCCGAGGACGGCGTCGGGGAGGCCCGGTGGTGATCCGCAGGCCTCTGCCTTTCCTGCGCTGCCAGCGCCATTGCCACGTGGCACGAAGACGCCATCTTGGGCGTGGCAGGGGAGAAACGGCGGGAAGCAGCCATCTTGTCTTCACAGCGGCGGGAGGACGCCGCCATCTTCAACATCGCGGCGGAGAGGCAGCCTTGCGCTGCCATCTGGAGGTGCCGCGGGGTGAGCAGCCTGCTGTGAGCTGCTGTTTTTCGAGGGGGTGCT